CTTGTTATCACTCGTCGTTGCCTCGCAAATAATCGATTCGATCAACTGGCGAGAAAACGACACATTGCACATGCATACTACATGGCGCGCAAGCGAATTGCATGTAAATGTCAGGGACACGCGAGCAATTAGCGTACACACTTGACTCAAAAATATTCCTTTTCGTCTTATCCACATTCTTTAGCAGATAAGCTGACATTTTTTCTTCCTCTTCGTTGCCTTAAAACCTAATATTTATGCAATGTTCTCATTGAGGTTTTTCTCATAGAAAGCGCGGAAGAAAACGCAAGATAACAATCGGAATGATAAAAACAAAGTCTCGCCTCTTTTTACCTATACTATTATTTTAATTACATTTTGTCGTAATCAAAATTGACGAAACGTACATCTTCGAGCATCAAAGAAGAAAGAGGAAACAGAAAAATCAAAGGAAAAGAGCACGCGGAGAAATAAATCTAAACGGTAACGCGAAATTTCCTATATAAACGTCCTCTTTTTTTTCTTTTTCTCTTTCTTTCGTGCAGCAACGCGATTTCACGAATGCCGGCCCGTTTCATGCTAATAATCAGATCGATATACAAGTCATGGCACCGGGAAATATTGATCAAAGTGGTCGCTCGACCGCTGACAGTATGCGCCCGTAGCGATCGCGGTAGTTATGTGCGGAGGAACCGTCGCACGAGCGTCGCGGAACTCGGTGAAGCTGGGCTTTCTGCTGCTCCTCTTCTCAATCGCGCATCTGCCGCTGGTGCGACACGCCGATGCCAGGATACTCCAGGGCAACTTGACAACAAGCGAAGTAATTACACCAAGGCGGGATCGATTTTGCCGAACGCTAAACAGAAATCAGTCGAAGTGATTTCAGTGGGAGTTCGATCCGTCCCGTGCGGCTCCTGCGTCGATATTATTATTGCGCGACGCATAAGCAAAAGCGGGCTCTCGCCTGCTGACGAAAAATGAAATGGATAAAATGAATATGACAATATTAATCTTTAAAATTGAACTATTTCCCCGAAGGAATATTTTCTTTTCGTTTAAATGCAGCAACGAAAAAACCTGGTAAAAAATTTTCTACATCTAGATATATAATTTATATATCTAGGCGTCATAAATAAAAAATATACAATTATATAAAATTATACGTAATTATATATTTTTATATGTAGACATATTCTATATATAGCTATATATGGAAAATTTTTTACTGGGCAGTATAGAAAAGATTTTTATAGTTTTATTGCGCAATATCTTCGCAATTGATGTATTAAATATAACAATAGTATCGACTGATGCAGAAACCGCTTCACATTATTACTTTTTTTCAGTAAAAACAATAAATTCTCACTCGTTTGTTATATGAGATAAAGAACCGATGACACTTAACGAATGTCTGATTCCGCCAATCTTTCAGAACTGGGCATTCGTGGCAAGATTTTGTTTTCTAACGGAGAGCGGTACCTTTCGGTATCATTTTGAATTAGGGGGTGAAGAAAGCGAGCTGAACATCTTGCTGTACTACGATGCGCCGCATCAATGGCCCACTATTTATCCTACCAATAAGACGTGCTGGGAGAAACAGAGTATTCTCAATATCAAATATGGTCAAATAATACCACTGAACACGTCGGAGCCCTTTTCGGGATGCGTGGAGGGCGACGACGGTACAGTTCGATGCGACAGTCAGAGGAGATTCATCTCGGCACGGCCGAGATGGTGGTTCATAGCTTTAGCCGACTGTTCTTCCAAGAAAGGCCTGAATGTCACTTATTGGATATCGTTGACCAATGCGCCGCCCGGCTCGTTCTGGAAGGAACACTTTTCCGCGGACGAATTCTGCAAGTAATTTGACTTTCACGACGGTTGCCGTGTCTCAGAGTAGCATTCCTTAATTGTATCCGTTTTCGGTTCTAGACATACTGCCGTTGCTGATACCAATCGTCTGCATATACATGGTATTAGTCGCCGTCAGTTTCCACATAGCGTTGCAATTGCGCTCCAGAAGGCTGCTGCATATATCCTACAAACTGTTCATAGCCTCCCTGCTATGTCAATTATTAGGAGTATCGTGCGAGCTCTACAGCTACGTTAATCTTGGCCTGAGAGGAGTGCCAGCGATAGACTCTTACCTGCTGGGCCAGCTCTCTGAAGCATGCTCCGAGACATTGTACACGGTACTCATGCTGCTGCTCGCCCTCGGCTACACGGTTACCAAAAGTGTCCTTACGTCATCACAAGTCCGATGGCTTATAGTGTTTACCAGTATTGTCGCTCTTTTTCAAATGTCATTATACGGATATCAGATTGAGCAATTCGATCCCGGATTGGTGTTATACATTTATGAATCGCCACCAGGCTATGCACTAATAGCGCTCAAATTGATCGCGTGGTTCGTGTTTGTCCTTCGTTGTTTCAAGACAATCAGGAAATTAAATACAAAGCTCCATTTCTACGCTTCGCTGCTTCTCTTGGGATCAGTATGGTTTCTCTTTCACCCGATAACGGTAAACCGAAACAGATGTACTAAGAATTATTATCTTGTTTGAAATATATTTTTAATATTTGATAAATATTCTGCAGAAACGAAGCATCTTTTTTATTTTTTTATTTCTACAGATACTAATCAATACTATATTTGTGGACGAATGGGTGAGAGAAAGCGTGGCTAAAGGAAGTTCCCTTTTTATTGTCTTCTTGGGTCATATAATGTTTTTATATGTAACTCGACCATCTGTGAACAATAAACGTTTTCCATTCCACATTAGGACATTTCAAGTTGTGCCTATAGGTCACGGACAGGATCACAGTTACGAGCCTGGTCCTCGAACTGCAGTTACCGCATTTACTATCACACGGACACCAGCTTACTTCAATCAATCACAATAGGCGTAGATAGAAAAGGAACAATAGCAAAATAGGAATGTGCAACCACTGGTGGAATGCATCATTACTGAAGTAGCTATCGAAGCAAAATAATAAGTGGCTACTGAAAAAATAAAACTTTTGTAATATCAGTATATTTTTTTACTATACATGGCGCAATGCAACAATGAGCAACATTTTTGCATTACACCTAGCGAAGTGGAAATTTAGGTAGTGGCATAACATTGATAATACTGAATTGTCATGGGCAAAAATTTATATGTGAGTAGTTTTGAATTTATACGATCCTTCTCTCATCTTTTGTCACAAAAATATTTATAATAAAGTGCATTATGTAATTTCAGAGTTTTGTTTTTTATTTATAGCAAATTTATTCTATATCTTTCCAACAAAAAGTTCAACTTGGAAAGCTTTTCAAGTGCATATATATCATCAATTTTATTTATATA